AACAATATAAGGTACTTAATTTCCTTGACCTGTCCACTGAACAATAAAATTAACCTCAAATAAAAAATATTCAAATAAGGAATTACTTACTAGTTCACCCCAAGTAAACACATACAAGCAAACAAGTATTTGTTAGGAACCTCTTATGTGGCCAGAACAGTGCTAGGTACTACTAACTAGGGAACAAATGAAACAGTACAAATCATAGTATACTTAAAAGCTGAAAGAAAACACAATTATGAGTAGGAGTGGGTGAGGAGTCACAGTGTTTTTTAATGGTGTTTGGTAGAGTGGTTATTTTCTACCTTGTTAATCCTTTCTTGGTCTTTTGGCTAGAAAAATCAGGCTTTTGTTGCTGTTGTTTTTTGTCTGTGATGATTGGTATTTCTGGGATGCCAGCTTCTCCAGCACCCAGTCTGGGATAGATAAGGAAAAAGAAAACCAGAGAACTCACTGCTGTGAATTCTTGGGGGTTGTGAGGTCTGTCAATTGTCTGTCATCTTCTCTCTACCTTTCAGTTTCCTTAAGTTTGTTTTATATCCAGTATCAGATTTTTTTTTAGCTGTTCTTAGCAGAAGGAATAGGAAAAGTTTGTTCCATGTTATCCCTGTCTTTCCTAATATTTGAAGCATCTAAGACAACAAAATAGAATATTCAAGATGCTCTCATTTACCTCTTATGAAACGAGACAAATTAGGAAAGAAGAGAAGTACAGTTATTGTGGGAACAAAGCTGGTTTGTTCTCTCCAGGTGGTAGCCTTAAGTTCAGTTCACATTATTGGTCTTTATTTCTGTCTTCTCTAAGTGGAAATTCAGGATGGAGAATTAACAGGAGACAATGAACAATATCCTTGATAATATTTCATGTTCATGTATGATTATACACATTATGATTAAAGAAATGAAAATGAAATCATTTGTTAGCTAGAAAATTACTGAATCCTTATCAAGACCCTGATGAGAATGTTGAAAAGTCGTGATGAGGAAAATTATGCTTGAAGTCATCCTGCATACTTTCCATGAATTAATTATAATCAGTAACTTTCATATGTACACAATGTATATCTTTTTTGAATATTAAAATATTTTGAAATAGGAGTAATGTGCTCATTGACAGTGTTCCACTGTGTAATAAAGTCACCAGTTGGCCATAGCATTGTGTCATATAATCACTTTAACTGAAATTCTGTTGGGGTGTGGGGAGAGATTCATCATGGTAGAATGGAATCTGATGTTCAAATAAAGTAAATTGATTTTGAAGTTGTATTAGAAAATGGAAAATGTTACAAAAGTGCAGAGTATAAAATAAATCAGAACTGCCAACACTGTAACCACTTCAAAGTTACAGGGTGAGACAGAGATTATCTGGGTTTTTCATTTCCTGGAAGATGTAAAGGATGAAACAGAGGCACAGAAACACAACACTGCTGGGTTTTAGTGCATTGGTTGCAAAAATGTTTGGAAACTAATTATGAATATTTGCTGCCTTAAGCTGTATGCTCAAAGACTAACTCGTATTTTTTGTTACCAATAACTACAATTTTTAGAGTCCATACAGTTACTGAAATGCCCCAAATTTGACTGTAAATTTTAATATGTAAAAGATAAGGGGTATTCTCTAAAATATATTTTTCTTTACATTTTAAACCAAAAAAGGACCTTATAAATATGGCCTTTGCTCACAATAAGCAAAGTGAAATTTTTTTTTGCTTTTGGAATAGTACCCCTAAAAGTTCCAGACAAAAGTAATGAGGAGATATAGAACGCAAAGAAATTAAACTGATTATTAAGATTTGCTTAGATGTTGCAAAAACTGGTGTTGATTATCACTGACATATTAAATATATATAATGATTTCTAAATAAAGCAGGAGGAAAATGAAAATATGGTGTTCCAAACTGTGATGGGTAGTAGGTGAAGAGCTTTATGCTTTTGCACAGGTATAATTTCAAAGAAATATATACTCAAAGGAGGACCAAGTCTCAGTCTCAGTGTTTGTCTTTTTAAAAAAATTATTCTCTATTTACTAACATAAAATAAAATGGTCTCATTGAGGTTTTGTAGTCTTAAAATTTCAATTTTAGCAGCAAAAGTGCTTTGTGTATGCAAAACATTTCTCTGAGTTCAAAAAATTGACAAAAATGTTACCATTACATGACTATGGTAGTCTGCTTGTTTCATGAGAATCTTGGGTCGAAGCGATCAAATATCAGTTTATAAAGATTTCTTTACATAATTTTCTTTCTTTCTTTCTTTTTTTTTTTTTTTTTGAGTCGGAGTCTCAGTCTCCCAGGCTGGAGGGCAGTGGTATACTCACGGCCACCTAAGCATCGACCTGCTGGGCTCCTGCAATCCTTCCACCACGGCATTCTAAGTAGCCGGAACTACAGGTGCGCGCTACCACACCCGGCTAATTTTTTTATTTTTTGTAAAGATGAGGACTCACCATGTTGCCCGGGCTAGTTTTGTGCCCGCAGGCTAAGGCAGTCCACTTGCCTTGGCCTCCTAAAGTGCTGGGATTACAGGCTGAGCCACTGAGCCCGGCCTACATAATTTTTAAGTGCTCTTGTGACTGATGAGGACATTCAAGAAACTTTAAATGTTGAGATTACAATAAGGGAAAACCAGGCCCACTTAGTCACAGTCCAATCAGAGAACGGGCCTTGTTATTAGCTGTCTCATGCTGGGTAACAAATTACTCCAAAATGTAACTGCTTACAATTATAAGTATTTATTATCTCACACACTTTCTGAGGAACAGGAATCTAGAAGACGCTTAAAGGGTAGTTCTTGTTCGGGGTATCTCACATCTGGTAGTTCAACCCGGGAAGGATCTATTTCCAAGCTTACTCATGTGATTGTTGGCTGGTGTCTGATATTTGCTCACTATGGCCTGGAGTCTCAGTTCCTGGCTGCATATACCTCTCGATAGGCTGAGTTCCTCATGACATGACAGTTGGCTTCCTCCAAAGTGAGTAATCTGAGAGAGAGAGAGAGAGAGAGAGAGAACACAATGAAGAATCCACAGTCCTTAATAACCTAATCTCAGAAATGGTATGCCTTCACTTCCGCTTTATTTTACTGGTCAACCAAACCATGGCACAAAGTAGTAGGAGACGACACCAAGATGTGAATATCAGGAGGTGGGGATCTTGGAAGCTGGCTACCACAGGCCCATAGCAGATTGGCAACTTGGAATCATCTAGAACTTTTGTTAAAGCATACCTCCTCTAACAGTCATTGTCTATTACTGGGAAGAAATGACTACTGATCATTCAGACACACAGTAAGGAGCAAATGGAAAGATGCTGATGCTTCTCTGCCAATGTTGCACAACCGCTCTGTAACCCGAGTATACTAAGAGTATTCAGCAATAACAATTCAACTCTTAGTCATACTTTTTATGGGTACCAAGGTCCAAGTTTAATTTTAAAAATATGCATGATCTACAGTGTATCTCTGAGAAGGGTATAACATATAATGAAGTAAAATAAAACAGTATGCTGTCACAGAAAGTTAGGTGATTACCAATCCTATGCATTTAGAAATACAGTTTTAAAAGCTTGCCATGAGGAAGATGGAAAACAAGAGAACTTTAAGCTTTCCTATTTTCCAGCTTGAATAATTTAATTGGATTTTATAATATCAGTAGGAATCAATGACTGCTTTTAGTTTTTCTACTTTGGGTGAAAGATAAGTCACTCTGAATACTTCTGGTAGTACATTGCCAAGTAGAAAGATATAACCATTCAAAATCACCATATGGCTTTTTGTAAAAGAAATTTGCAATGGTTTTCAATTTGGGAAAGTTTTCCAAAAGGTGTCATATAAATCAGCTGCTTGAAACTCACTCACAAGCCATGTGATACCTGGCCCAGGCAAATCAAATACAGAGTGATGGGGCATAAATAGCTCTCCTGCACTTGTATGCATAAATAAATAAATAAACGGCCAATTTTAAAACTAATAGGATTTTTAATCATTAAATAATCATCTGGTTAGGTCAAGACTCATCTGCAGGCTAGAAAGATCATTTAAAAAGGCAGAGTTGTGGCAAGAGTTGACGTCTTCCCTTTTCTAATCCTCTAGGTTATCTGGGCTTACATCTACCCTCAGCCTTAACAGGGCAAGGTATGCCCTAGGATGCCCTACCCTTCGGGTGAGGGAAGGAATTACCGCAGCTCAAGAGATGGTGATTTCTGCCTGAGAGGGCAAAGGCGACTGTGGTATCGGCGTGCTGATTTGTATTTTAGCAGTGATTTTTTTTCACCGACAGCATATTAGAATCAGATTCTCTGGGTTAGGATGATAGCACTAAACTTTTTAAAGTTCCCCAGGTGATTTTAATGTGCACCCAAAGTTGAGAATCTTCGTCCTGGGAGAGTGGGTCTCATTGGGGGCACCCATTGGAATCACCTGGAGATGCATTTAAGGGCGCGCTAGGCCCCATCCTCGGTTTCTGGTTCAGCAGGTCTGGGGTGGGGCCCAGCATCTGCAGATTTAACAAGTCCCCCGGTGCTGTGGATGCTGCGGTACCGCGTTTGGACCATCAGCCGTAGAGGAGTCTGGCTCTCGTTATATTTTCACGTAACAAAACATGGAGTTCAGCGGCGAGTGTAGGCGGAGGTATGAAAATGGGTACATGGAGAGGCCTCATTCCACGAGTCTCCCCCCTCATTTCTCTCCACCTCCTTCAAAACCGCAGCAGGACTGGGATCTATCCCTGCGTTGTCCTCCCTGATTTCCTCGGTCTTTATTTGACAGATTGAGGAACTAAAAGCCGATCCCGGTTCGGTTCGTGTGACTGAATGGCCCCAAGCTGGTTACACCCGAGCTCACCATCCTCCTTTAGCCGGCCTCCTAGCTCACGTAGGCCAACCTCTTCTCCGCCTAGGCACCAAGTCCGCAGGTAAGCCTGCTCCGTTTTCCTCCTTTCCCTCCTACCTTGCCACACTCCTGGCGTCCTCCGCGCTTGCGCACGCAACGTGCGTCAGCGTTAGAAGCCTGCCCCGCGTGTCCCTCCGCCGGCTCCGCGTGCTGCGCAGGCGCAGAGGGCCAGACGCTGGAACTGCCGTCATGGCGGGCGTCAACCCGGTGGTGAGGACGGCTACAGGCTCTGTGTAGTAGGGCAGCCCTGGGACTGTGGGTTCACTGCAGCCCGAGCCCTGCACATCCTTTTGTTTCCCTTAACGCCTCACACGCTTTCATGAACGCTCTTCTTTGGGGGTTGGGGCTCCTCCTTGGAGGAAGTCGATGAGGGCCGGTAGTTCAGTGGGACGTTGTGCCTGGCCCCACAGGAAGAACAAACGTCTTTTCTCTCTTTTCCAAACTCAGACTTAGGTTGTCTAAGTTGGGGTGTTTAGAAGATGTTTAAAGGTGGAACTCACCCTTGACACTACTGATTTCCTATATGTTTAGGACGTTTCCAAGTTCAGTCATATTACTTTTAGGACGGGCACTGTGGATCCAAGCTGTGTTATTTACCAATTGGAAATAGCAAGTTATGTGCTAGTTCAGGTTTTAACTGTCTTCCCCACCCTTCCATTTTTTTTTTAATCCTTTAAGATTCTTAACGTTTGTGTGCAACCCTCATACATCCTTCTTCCTCTAAGGAACAACTAAACCTCACAGTGAGAATTTACAGCCTAAATGCCACTTATGAGACCATCAGTTTTAACCTGAGTTTAAAAAAAAAATCAGAGATTCATTTTTTATTATCAATTTATCTCGACAGACTTCACATTTCGTGAAAGACAGTGCTCTTGTCCAGATCTGTGTTATTTTGTGGCTCTCATGTGTTATATGTGCACATAAAAAGGTCGTTTTTAGAGACATGTTATTTTAATATATATCAATTTTATGTATTTTAAGATATGTAAAATACATATACTATAATTAAGTATAAGCTTACCAGGTACAATTTACCTGATGGTGAATTCCAAGAAGGAGAGGCTGTGTGTGTTTTTTTAAATAGAGTAGTTGAGGTGGACTTCTGGACTATATATAGTTTTTAATAAAGACAACAGGGGGAAGCAATACAAAGTCTAACTATAGTCCTAGAAGAGGAACTATATTCAATACCTGTTTTGATTTTGAAAAATTGTGTTCTAATGGGTTCTTTTTGACTGCTGCTGTTATACTCTAAGGGCAGATCTTAAAGATGTTTTTAGCACTAGGAGTTTTTTCTTCTATCTTTAAGTATGATCACGCTAGCTGGGACTAACACTGAAGCATCAGTTTAGTATGCCTTTATCAGGGTAAACTGTTTTAGAAGCAACTAATTTTTAGGGGCACTTAGTCTTAATGCATATATTGTGAATAACATATTTAAACGTCACTGATTGGCCTATTCATAGGCTTACGTTGGCTCTTTAGGAGGATTAGTTTAAAATGTAGCTACTCTTGACATGAGCAGATGTGCTTAGAGTATTTACAGGGTAGTGTGAAAAAGCAATCCTAGAATGCCACTGTTTTCACTTTTGATTGATTAAGCAATTTGAAATAAGAACAATTCACCTACATTTCAGTAGGTCAGTATTGTCAGCATACTTTGCATTCCCATTTGGACTGGAGTTGGTGCAAAGCACCATTTACACAGGTATATAGGACTGAGTTTTTTTCACATGTCCATTGTTTTGTTGATATAACTGATATATATATATATATATATATATTTTTGAGTTGGAGTCTCACTCCGTCGCCCTGACTGGAGTGCAGTGGCCGCTCCCGGCCACCGCAGTCTTGACCTGCTGGGCTCTGGCTATCCTTCTGCCTCAGCCTTCCAAGTAGCTGGAACTACAGGCGTGCACCACCATGCTTGGCTAATTTTTTGATTTATTGTAGAGATGAGGTCTTGCCAAGTTGCCCAGGCGGGTCTCGAACCCACGGGCTTAGGCAATCCACTCACCTCAGCCTCCCAAAGCGTGGAATTACAGGCTGAGCCACTGAGCCTGGCACTGATATTTAATCTGGGTAGAAATCTGCTTAATTTTGTTGTCATGGCATGTTTTGCTAGGGGACACTTAATTTTTTTCTTATCAAGTAATAGCATTTATTTTTTAACATTTTAATTTCAATGACTTTAGGAGATACAGAGGATTTTTGGATGCATTGTATAGTGGCAAAGGAGTCTGGGCTTTACCCTCCACCCTCACCTATGCACATTGTACCCAATAGGTGATTTTTCATCTCTACTCCCGCCCCTCCTTCCGTTTCCCTTCTGAGTCTCCAGTGTCCATTATGCTGCTCTATATGCTTTTGCAGGTAGGAGGCATTTAAAAATGTTATTTAGTCGCTGCAATATGCATGTTGTGGTAAGGTAAGGTTCATGCATGCTCTTCTTAGGTTCTGTTAGGAAATTCATTTTGGTGCAGTTGTACTTGACAATGGCTCATAATTTTTTTAGACAATCTATTTTGGAAGTGGGATGAACTTTGATTATTGTAAGTGCCTACCCCAGTCTTATTGTTTAAAGTTTATTTACATTTGTGGAAATAATATAATAATCCCTAAGAAATGTCCTTTTGATGCATCAAGAAAAAGGTACATTGAAAACAGAAAGTCTGCCTTACATTTATTTCTCCTTTAAAAGGATAGGGAGGTTAAATACTGACACAAAAGTCAAGTAACAAAACAATAACCATACATCTTTATGAGATTATTAGCTCATATGTTATTGTAGTCCTGTAGTTCAGTCCTGTGAATAGACTGAGACTATGAATCTGAAGCTAACATAATTTATGGAAAGCTAAGACTATATTGGGAGTAGGATGTACTTAGTAAAAATTTTTTTTTTTTTTTTTTTTTGAGTTGGAGT